ATCAAAAGCAGCTGATGAACAAACAAACAGATTTCCTATGTTCCTAATAAGTATGATTTCTGAAAGGACCATCCATGCTGTCCCTCTTAAAAGACAGTGATGTGTATAAAAGGCTGCTGATGGTGCCTTTATTGTGTGATTTGTCTTGGTTTTTTTGAAGTACTTCTTTTTAGCAGATTACCATGTATTTACAGTTAGCATAATTATATCTAATTACTTAATTAGCATGAATATGTGTAATTACTAACTTTGAATATGTAATTATGTCAGGGCAGCCTGTAATAAATAAGGTCATAAAAAAGCTCTCATTAGAACTCTATGGAAGGACGTCTGCTCTGCCCATGTGGCAACTGCATCACGGTGCTAAGGCTGTACCAGGCCTAACAGTGGAAAATAAGCCAAGTGCCAGTCATTGCCAGTCAGAAGTAGCAGAAGCACACAACAAAGCAGTCGTCAAATGTCTCCAGTGCCATTGTTTTTACTGTGGAAGAAGCCTCCCATTCAGAGTTAGCAAACTCCCCCCAACTAACCATTGCTTCACATACATTCTCTTGATGGAGTTTCAACAAAAATTAAATCCTTTCAAGGACACTATTTCTCATGTTGAGACTCCCTCTCTTTACTGCTGCTCTGGAAGAGTTTCAAAACAACTAAAATTTCTCTAGAGAAATGTTTCCCAAGGTATTTGTTCTGGCTAAACAGGTACAACTGCAGAATTTGCTATAGTATTTGTACAGAGCCTAAAGATCAAGAAGTTCCCTTAATACCTGCAGGGTCCACTTGGTTATTTATGACTACACAGAGCAACGTGAGCCTCAAAAGCTTTCCATACGACTTCTCAAATTTTTGATCTTGGAAATCTGCAGCTCCTCCTAATTGCCCGTTTTTCATCATCAGGAATCCTAAATGTAGATGGCAAAACAGATCCCACCGAATCCAATGAGAATGGGCAAATGGGAGGTAGCATGGAAAACCTCCATTGTTATCACCGAGTGCATCTATTTCTGGTCAAAATAGTGACATCTGACCTCTCCCATCAACACATTTGCAACCATGTACAATTTGTCCCAGGCAAACATCCATTGCTTTGTATTGATTGTGTGGTTAATTGTAGCAAAATGTCATTTCCTGCCCACAAGAACTGATAGTCCTTTTCAGGAAATGTTTGAGGGTAGCATGAGTCATGTTTTACTTTGTGACAAGCGTTGCTCATGGGATGGATCCATCTGATCCACTGCTGAGTTCTTTTCTTTCTTCCATCTGATGATTTCTTTTCTTTACAGTGCCCTGGCCCAAACCGAGTTAGACACACATCTTGTCTGAAGTGTATTATTACTAGATGGCAATGGAGCACAGATTCATCAGAACCTGCCACTCTTCCTGTGCCCTGAACATTTAGTAAAAAAATACATCCACCCAGTCCCACTTCAGCAACCTGGGGCGGGGAAGGTGTGGGGGAGAAGGGCTTTATTGCAATCAAATCTGAGCTCAGTATGCCCAGGCTACACCCCATCTAAGACCTGACCCCTGGTTAAATCTTCTGTCTTGGCGTGAAAATCACTTACGTAAAACTTTGGTTTATCTGAACAAGTCATTCCAAACCCTAGTGCAACCATTGCAATGTGCACTTGAAGCTTGCAGGATTAGGGGGGCCAGAAAGGAGGGAAGGGGCAGAGTAAGAAGTCCAGAAGAGTCAGCCCTTCACAGTGTGGGGACAGTGCGATACAGCCCCTGCTACCAATGAACAGAAGAGTGATTAAGACCCACACGCATCCCTCCTGTTCCCTTCATTCTGGGAGCAGCAGCCAGGAAATGAAAAAGAAACCCCCCTGAAGCCAACGCTCCCAGAAAGTCATAGGTGAGAGCGCCAGGTCCCACATCCTTCATCCTATTAGCAGGGAAAGGACAGTGTATCCATAGTCAGTAACAAATATCTCTGTCTCCTTGCAGACAGCATTAACTAATGGGCCTGCTAGAGGAGAACCCACAGGACAGCATTGTACAGCAGCAGCGAGAGGGGCCACAGCTCAGCAGGCAGCGAGCTGTTTTCCATATTTCATCTCCAATTCCATTATGCAGAACTAAGTGGCTGGGAATAAACATCCGTCATTCCCGTGTGATAAGCGATGTTTGTTAGTATAGAGGGTGACAGAAATCTATATCACGCCAATGTACTATTAATACTACATTAAGCATATAGAGTTCTTTCTCCTCATTGTAGTTCGGTAATGGGTATCGGCATGTCCTCAGCCCAGGCACCACCCAGCAGTATGGCCAGCCAACTGGTGATGCTGATGGGGTAAGAAGAAAGTAAAGCTAAAGAGGAGGAGAAGCCACATGAATGCAGGCATGGTGCATTAGCAAAACCAGTCTGCACAGGACAGAAGCTGGGCTGCAGGGTTTACTTGGAGCTAATGCCTTTGCTAATGACAGACTGCACAGACTTGCTCCCAGGCCATGGATTTAATGGATGGGACTGATCAAAAGGAAAGTGCCTACTTGCCACTGATACGCCCAAGCACTAAACCAATGCTTTTCCTAAAGAGACTCTGCTGGGTACCAGTGGACTTCTGTCTCTCTCCTCCTGGTCATCTCTCCTTCTGTGGTAGGGGTGGAAAAATACAGTTGTGTCCAAGTTCTTGAGAGGAGAAAACAAGCTCTGTAAATGGTTAAACGAATGAGAACAGCAAAACCATCCCAGGGCAGACACACCAGACCAAATTCAGGTTGGTTAGAGCCATGTGGGGAAAATACAAAACAAAAGGGAATCTACAACAGGGCTCCAAAAAGTCTGGCGATTTCAAAGGTGAGGTGCAAAAATATCCAGGGATTTATCCCTCCTCCGCAGACAACAGAACCACTGAAGTGGCCGGGAGGTTTGCTGGGGAAGATCTAAAAGACAGGGTCTTAAAATATAAAGAAACACCAAAAAACAACCCTGTCTTTGGTCTCATAGCATTCACAGATTTAGGGACAGGTAATTCCAAAAGCTTCTGGAAAATCATTAAAGAGCTTTTAGCCTGCCAAGACTTGACCATGGTTAGCACCTGAAGACGCATGTAAAGACTGGAGTCCTGTCTTCCACACTACTGGCCCTAGGCTGAGTCTTGGCAAGCAAGTCTAGAAGCAAGTGATTTTCCATGAGCATGTGTATTTACAACGTTAAACTCTCCCCATGTGGCCTGTTCCATGGGAGAAACGCATACAGCTTACAGCCCTAAGTGGTATTGCTGCATGCTGAACTTTTCAGGTTTTAATTGTACTGAATCCGTGAAACATTTTCGCCAAATCCTGCTGCGATCTACTTCGCCTGCAACCCTGCTAAAATTTGACAAGACTCAGAGGGCATAACTCAGAGAAAAAACACAATCCTTTGAGCTGCTACCGCCCCTACTAGAATGATGCTCACAAAACCACACGGTCACTTTGCACAATAGAGAGACAAGAGAAAGAGAGAAAACAAGCCAACAGTCTGCAAATAGCTTCAAGTTGAGGTGCTTTAAGAAACAGAGAACACACAAACACGGCACAGAAACACCATACTACTTCCAGGTTCCTTGGCTCCTTCTGTCTAATCAACTCCCCCCCTCTCTAGACAAACAGACCACAATACATACAATAAAAGAAAAAAAATCAAAGCGAAAGTCAGGCACGGTAATTGGATACACCCCATTGCTCTGGTGATTGAAGTGCAATGATCAGCAGCTTTGGATTGGAGGCCCAGCTCCTGATTTTCCTCTATGAGCTCCTGTGAAGGTAAGCAATAGGACTAGTCAGAGAGACCTCTCTGCATGAGAGGAAGGGTACTGCTCACCTTCGCCTGACTGTAAGAGAAGTGGCCATAAAGAATCAACATCCTGCCTAACACTCCACGCTGGGTGCATTGCTGTAGGCTCAGATATGTGCTGCCTACAAGCACCTCAAAGTTCAGATGTGGAGTCAGATTTCCTCGGCTTATGCATCAAGATCTGGAAATCTGACAGGAGGCGACTCTCCAGAAACATATTTCCCACCTTTGAGCAGCCAGAAAAGCAGCGACAATAACTTTTCTTGCAACCTTTTGTCAGATCCAGCCCTGGCTGGAACGAAGACATGCAGAAAAGATGAAAAATAATGGGAGGGGAGATGATCTGAACCTTCCACGTGGTACAGTTTGTTTCCGGAGATTAGAAAAGGGTGAAAAAGCAGAGACGGGATGGTTCCTCCTCTATTGACTGAGTAAGGACTCCATGCTTGGGGCAGGAGTGACCCCAGGAGCAGCCATGGAAAGCGCTGACCCATATTCCCAAGAAAGAGTCCTTTTAATAGCTCTGATTTTATTATTAGTTTATGAGGACTCCTGCTCAGTAGGGAAGGAACTTCAGGAGCGGGTGAGGATGATACTGGTTATTTGAATAGACTGAGTTCACAGTGTACATAGGCATGGGGAGATTTTGTGCTTTTCGACAGCCCCTGTATAAAAGTAATAGAGATCTGGATCTGTTGCCCTCTTTCTCCAGAAGTTTTCCATGCATCTGCCCTGTCTGCGAAGCCTTCTGCCCCTGCCCTTTGGACAGCTGGAGGTCTAAGGAGGCAGCCCTGGCTACAAGGTGAGAAAATCTCTTGATGTCAGAAGGGGACCCAGGGAGGCAGCTGGTCTCTCTAATGCCTCGTGCTCCCAAGTTGCTCTTGCTACTGCCCTAGTAGCGTGGCCAGTGCAGACATCTGTAGACACCATTTTCAGGTGCTGCTGCCTCATGTGGGGAAGGTGATTGGTGGGTGGTGACAGGAGGGTGAAGGTGGGGTGGAGGGTGAGGGTGGGAAGTCTCCTATATGTATGCTGTGATGCTTGAGACCTGAGATTCAGTTTGGTTTCTGAACCATACAAGACCCATTCTCCTCACCAACCATTCTTCCTCCTCTTTAACTTCCTCCTTGTCTTTCCTCCTTCCCTGACTCTTTCCCCACCCTCATTCTCATCGTCCCATCGCCAGAAGGATCCGACTGGATCAGGCACTTACATGTGTCTGGTTTGTGGCAGTTGTGGCCTTGTCGGAAGTACTGGGGGTTCTCAATGACAGGAATACGGGTCATGCCGATCACCACCGTGTCTGGGCCAGCATCCAACGATGATGGCGTGGTGATGCCATGGTTGATATGATGGAGAGGGCTGGCAGAGTCCTCCTCACCGCTGATCACTGCCACCGGACCTAAAAGCATCACACAAAAAATCATCAGGTATAACAATGGAGAAACGAGAGACTTGGATCCCCCTATTAATTGCAATGCATGGTTCATTGGGGTTAGCTCCATCAACTGGGAAAACATGGGGTTAGCTCCATCAACTGGGAAAACTTTATGTCCAACTTCCTGCATAGGGTTAATTATGCAGGGAAGCTCTCTGATCCTGAGTGATCTGCTCTCCCAGATAACACGTGAAGCAGAGGGATCCATCAAGTTCAGCAGCACCCATCTGATAATCTTCGAGACTGATGCCCTCTGCTTCCAGAACAGCTACAGCACAGACCCCAGCCCTGCTCTCAGGGGTAGTATGAGATAGTCCAGTTCCTGGTCAAATACTACAATATTGGCCTGGTGCTTCCTAGGTTTCTAATTTATGCTCAGACAATCTCTCCCACTTGCTTAATCTCTCAACTCCACCCTCTTCTGGTCCAACCACACCTGCACTGACATAAACCTGATGGCTCCCCAAGGCCAGTCGTGGAGGACCTTAGGCAAGCTCTAGAAGGAGGCAGAAGCAAGGTCTGCACTGAGCTGTGTCAAGCCCAGCAATTCCCTCCTGATCTCTAATTTGCCTGTTTTCTTTTCAAGTACTTTTGTATTCCCATTCCCCAACTTGTTGCTCACTCACAGGGATGCTTTATTGATCCCACCATCCAGACACAGGGAAAGGTGGCAGGCCTAATGGAGAGGCCCAAGTCCTCTCGCCACAACGTCCCCCAAGCAAGCGCTGACTCTTGTTGCTCAGTGGGAACTGAAGTGGTGTGTGCCCCGTTGCCACAGTCTACTCAGATGACAATTCTATGAAAAACACCCCCTCTCTTCTCCCAAGATATCCAAACCCCCAGCTCCACAGCCACCTTTAACATCCTAAACCTCTATACCCTCTCTCCTTGTAATTCCCATATCCCAAACACCCATACATATATCCCTGCCCTCTTGCAAAGGCTACCCACTAAACCCCATGTGTTCACACCCCTGCAACCATGCATAACAGACACATACAGCCGGGAACACAATGTCCAACTCCACACAGACGCGTGCCATTTCCCAGATGCTCACTGATGCCCTGAAGCTGACCTGAAAGCCATGTCCTGCTTTTCAAACCACCAGGTATTTTACAAGCCTCATTTATACTCTGATTTTAGGGGGCTATTTTTTTTTACAGTTTTCAATGCGGGAATGTCCTCAAGCCAGACACCTTAATGAAACTTCAGGGTTCATTATGAATGTATCTCCCCCTATTAATCCCACCGACATGACCCTCCACACCTACACCCTCGTCCGTAGGCCTAAAATCCCAAGCTCTGGCTACCTCTCCTGTACGAATGGGGGACCCTGAAGAGCTTAGGAAAGACAGCATTTCATTGCAAGCCTCTGTGAGGATGCACTCCTCAGATCCCTAATCAAACACACAGCAATTTATTCAGACACTGGGGGAAGAAAAATCCCAGCCAGCTGGAGACACTTCTCTTTTCTTTTCTGGAAGCTGCCAGAGGCTAACAGTAGGTCAACCCAAGATGAGCAGAGCTGCTGCATTCAGGCTTTAAACCCATTCAAGTTATCCTGCCTTTTACCTGCGCCACATAGAAAATGTCTCTCTCCTGTCACTAATCTATTTCTAATTGCACAATTACTTTATTATGTGGTGCTAGTAACAAAGAAGAGAGTCTTCAAGTCATTTTACTCTCCTGGAGCTTCTGAGCGGATCCAGAGAATACGGGCTCTGCTCAGACATTCTGACTGCATTAATCTAGTCTAAAGCTCGCTCATTTTGCAGACTTCAAGTATTGTTTGTTCTTTCGAGCGGGACATAATAAAATTATTGTGTAATTAACAGATTCCTGGCAGCCGTGACAGGTGTTTTAGTCGCAAGGAAAAGTCTCTCCCTATATTGTGAGTCTCTTTTGGCAGGTTCGTGCCTTTTTTTTCTTTTTTTTTGTAGTTATTTTCAGAGCCCAGATAATTCTCAGCTCCTGTGACATTAGAGGAAACAGAAGAATTCAGCTTCTGTGCCACATGCTTCTGTTGGGAGTATAACTGAACACAAGCAGCAATCAGGTGTTTTCAGTTTGCGTCGAAACTAAAAGGCATTCAAAGGACAAACAGAAAGTGTGCAACTATGAGCGTCTGCGTGTGGGCGTGCACGTATGTGCGCACTTGTCGTGGACCTGTGCACAACTGGCATGTGACTGCAAGCAACAGGAAGGGTGCGCTCTGGGGGTAACCTTCCCACTGGATGCTGAGAATTCAGACACGGAGAAGAGGCTGGCAAGCACTGCAGGCACTAGCGATGGGTGAGAGCCACAGATCTCCATGACCTCAAAACTGTCCTCTGGAGAGCTGTTGCTTCTATTTAAATGTCTCTAGCCCTGGGGCTTCGACCACTTCCCTTACAAGATGGATATCATGCTGATCTACCTGGTTGGTCATAGATGCTTCCTTGGAATTTGTCTATATTCCCCTTATCTTCAAGACAGGAGAGAACTGGAAGAGGACTCCCATGCTGTCAAGTCCAGACCCCTGCATTGGCTGGCAACCTTTCATCCAAGGAATCACTGGTTCAAACTCTCACACACAAGGCAAGGCAGGAAAAAGGATATGCTTCGACCCCCTGCAACATGCCAGAGGTAAGAGCAGGGGAGATGAAGACACCGACAATGCCCTGCCGCTGCAACAACAGAAGTAATTGGCTAATGTAGATTCAAAGGATCCTAGAAAGAGGACTCTGCTCCCACTCTACAGAAGAAGGCAAAACCCCCCACAGTCCTTGGAAGTCTGACCTAGAAGAAAAAAATCCTTCCCGACTCCAAATCAATCTGATCTTGCATGGAAGAGCAAGGCTCACTGAGTCCCCATCCCATTGCTGCTAGCTCCTGAGCTCTGGGTTTTCATCCTTTGTGGATTCCACACACAGCTCACCCCTTCCCCGCCCCACAAAGCAGGCTGCCACCATCTCTCCCAGCAGCCGGTTCCCCCCACCCATTCTTGCTTTACCCTGTTAAACTGGCCATTGTTTCAGTCAGCCTGAAGAGACAACAACGTAAGCTATGGGAAGCAACTTCACAGGGCTATGTTTGCATGGATGTTCTCCTGAACCTTTTAGCATCAGCTCAGTTCCTGATGTCCTAAAAGAGGGACGTGGTGTGGTTGTAGGGACATGGTGGAAGTGAGCAAAAAAAGTGGTTAACAGTCATCATGATTAGACCATATTTAAATGTTACTATTTTGGTTGTACCTATTTTTTTAAATACAAGAATACCAGTAAAACCCACTTATAGTAGATGTTATTATACCTGTCAGAAACTGTGTTGATCAATACAAAGTATTCTGATTTGTCGAGGAAAATATGCTATACCAGCAAAAGGACTTTACTAGCAACATAACTGCTAGGCCTTTTGGTGGCTGAGCCATCATTAAAAGCCTCTTCTCTGCCTGAAGGAGCATTGCCAGAAAGACGTAAAAGTGCGTACCTCAACTAAAAGACCCTTGGGATGCCCCCGCCATAGCACAGCCTTGATAAACATTGCTATAAATGTAGGCCTTGCTTTCTGAAATATGCTGAGAAGCTACAACTTCAACAGAGGTCACAGGCAGCTGCAGGTGTTCCCCACCTGTGTCCCATTAGCCCCTGGGAGAGCAAGAAATGCTACTTGCTGAAACCTAGAGGAGCATGTCGATGGCACCTGGGCTCTGGCTAGTTCAACAGATACAGGGCCTTTGGCCTCTAAGTCACTGACTCCCAATCGTTCCCATCTTGAAGGTAATGGGAACGTCCCCACCCCTTCTAATGACACTCCACTAAAATTACTCTCACCCAGGATTTGAACCGATAGCTGCTAAAGACTCACACAAAGGGACAGACTTTCCAGGATGATGTTAGGGAGCCTAAAGAAACACCCTGGCCAGGAAAAAGAAGGATGCAGAATTCAGTTCTAGAGACGGCCCCAATTTAGTAATGCAGAAAATGATCCCTAAATGCCAGCAGTTTGTCTCGTCAGTTAGGAGCATTTGTACAGTGCTTTGGGATCAATTTGAAGAGATCAGTGGAAATTGAGTGTATCCTCTTACAGACAACAGTGAAAGCACATGACATATCTTACAATGAAATGATGCTACCAGTGCATTTTGGTTTATCTCAGTGCAGTGAGACAAGTGGATAATCCTGCACTGGTAGAATTTACTTAACCTCAAAAGCTCTGATGCCAAACTCAGAATAAGCATCACCTACAGGAAAAGCAGGAATTACAAAGGATGAATCCACAGGATGGTTATGATCACAGGCTCCTTGCAGATAATATACATCAGTCTGCCTCTGAGGACACAACCATCTTTTGCCAAAACCAAATATACAACATACCATGCTTGGTCCCCACATGTCCAATGCCAAGAATACATAATAATGGTCAAAACAGAGATTAATTCTGGAAGCACTTATGATCCCTGGAAAATGCACAGCTGGAGACCAGGAGGCACAGTTATCAGATAGCACCCAGCTACTTCCTTCCCCATGCACTCAAGACCAAGACATCATCAGATTAAGCGCAACGCTCACAAGCAAATGTTCAAGTTGCCTCCATCCTTAGGATGATAGGAAGGTAGGACTGGAAAGGATCCCCTGAAGTCATCTAATCCAGCCCCCTGGTCAAGGCAGGATCATCCCTGACTGAGCCAACCCAGCCAAGTGTCTTCCTCATTTAGTTGTTATTTTATGCTTTTCTTACATTTCTAGCTCCCTGCCTTATGCTTAGACATCTGCTAACCAACATATCACTCCATACCAACCAGTGACACTGGCTCTTGTGGTTTTCTTTCACTCCTAAAACCTCCCGTCTCCACTGTTGTGTAGCACAGGGCCATGTAGCTTTGATCAAAATGGAGAGTCCTCCATCCAAAGGACTCTCTAGAAGAAGGAGTGACTCTCCTTTCTATCTTTTTCATTCTCTGCTCCCATTCATGCCCCACCACC